TGTACTTTCGATTTGATTTGAAACTGTCTCATTGCTATATGTTTATAAATAAAACTTTGAAAAGAAAATAAATAAATAAATAAATAAATAAATAAAAAGAAATGCCACTCCAGTCCTTCTAGCTCCTAACAGAAACGGTCGTATGATGAGTCGCCAGATCCATTAAAACCACTCTGTGGAAGAAAAGTCTTGGGGCTGGGGAGATGATTCATAGAATAAGCACTTGCCTAGCAAGCACAGAGGTCTGAGTTCAACCCCCAGTTCCATCAAACACAAACAAACAAAAATAAAAAAAATAAATAAAACCATCTAAAATATTTAGGGCCGGCCAAATAGCTCAGCGGATTAAAGCACCTGCCATCAGGCACAGAGGCCTGGGGTTCAAGTCCTGGGCCTGCTATGCTGGCCCCGCCCCTGGGGTGTGCTGAGACAGCAACTGAGACTGGGCGTGGTGGTGCATGCCTGTAATCCCAGTTCTTGGGAGGCTGTAAACAGGAGGATCACTAAGAGTCCGCTCTAGTAGTGAGACCCTGAACACCCTGTAGACACTTCCCTAAAATACAAAAGAAAAAAAAAAAAAAGAAGAAAGAAAAGTCTTTTCAAGAAATAATGCTGGGAAAATGGTGCCTTTTGGCTCCAAACTTTAACTATGCTATGTAACTCACATACACACAATCATGTGCTATTCTTTTCTTGTGACTGGATGATTTCATTTAATGTTATGTTCTCAGAGTTCAACCATGTTTTTACATGCCTGACCTTCCTTCTGAAGGTTGAGCAACATTCCCTTGTACGTACACACCAAATGTCGCCCATTCATCTATCAACAGACATCTGATTTTTGGCTCATATTTTAGGTATTGTGAATAATTCTACTCTGAGCAGGGGCGTACATGTTCTAAATGCTGCTTTCAGTTCTTTGAAGTCTATGCCAAGAAGTGGAACTGCTAGATCCTGGGAGAATCCTACCTTAAATTTTTCGATACTGCTTTGCCCGGTAGCACACCAGCTCACACAATGCACAGGGCTTCCAACTTCTCCTCGCAGGAGCCATCCTGATGTACCTGGTTTTGATTTGTGTTTCCCTGGAGACCGTGGTGTTGGACCATGTGCTTACTGGCTATCTGTATTGTACGCGTTCTTTGAACAAATATCAATTCACATTTTTTACTTATTTTTGAATGGCATTTTCTTTTCTTTTAGGAGTTTTCTTATCAAATATATCATTGGCAGATGTTTTCTCCCATTCTGCGGGTCCTTTGTACTCTTTTGTGGAGTGTCTGTTGATAAACATTTAAAAAAATATTTCATGAAGTCTCATTTGTATGTTTTCTTCCCTTTGGCTCTTCCACCTGTGATGTCATAAGCCTAAAATCATTGCGAAAACTTAAGTCACAAAGTTCTTGTCCTGTGTTGTCCTCTGAGAGTTTTGTATAGCTTTAGGGCTGACATTTAGGGGATGGAGTTATTTTGAGCTGATGTGTGTATACGGTGGTAGGTAAGAGTCCAACTTCAGGCTTTGGCATCTGGACAACCCATGGTCCTGGCAGTAGTTCTTGAAAGGATTCTCTTCCATGGGTGATTTTAGTGAAACTGGCATTTTTTATGACCATTTCTGTAAAAGTTTTCTTCTGGACTTACTATTCTGTTTCGTTGTTCTGTAAGTCTCTCTTTAAATCAGTACCACACTGTTTTGATTACAAAAGTGCTGGAGTTAGTTTTGAAATCAGAAGCGTTGGTCCTCCAGCTGTATACTTCTTTTTCAGGATTGTTTTGGCTATTTGTGGCACCTGGGATTCCATATGCGTTTTACAGTTTTCCTACTTCTGAAAAAAGATCATTGGGTTTTTCACAGGAATTATATTAAATCCGTACATGTTGGAGGTAGTACTGACATCTTGAAAATACAAGCTTAGTATTTTTAGTTAAAGTGCTTGAAACCAGAAATGTTTCCGTTTCAGAATTGTTTTTTCATGCACTGGAATATTTGCATAGACATACTGGGATATTTAGAGTGTGAAACCAAACCCTAAACACAGATTTAGTCTTCTTTAGGTTCTTTTAAGGTTTTTCTTTTCTGTTTCTGTGCAGGTTCGTACTACACAGCTCAGACTCGTAGTGATTCTCGGGATTTGTGCCTTGCTAGTGCTGGCTTATAGGCGTGTGCCACCACACCGGGACTCCATCACTGACTCAGTGAGCCCGGAGTGGGGTGGCACTACATGTGGTGCCAAGGATCGAACCTGGGCCCCTGCACTTACCTGAGCAAGCGCTTAGTCTGCTGAGCTGTATCACCGGCCCTTCCTCTTTTTCTCAAATACACTTCATACCCACAGGCTGAAGGTAACACTCTACATCTTTTAGTGCACCAGCTCAGCTGTGGGATTTCTCACTTGTTAAATCAACATTAATGATCAAAAAGTTAGATTTCTGGAGCACCTTGCATGAAGGGTGCTTAACCTGTGCTGTCTTCCCTTTTGCAATAACTTAATATTGTAACAAATATTACATTATTATATTACCTTGTCATATGAAATTGATACTGGTGATTTGGCATTTAATTTGCTAATAATTTATGATAGAAACATTTGCAAGTTTCATTGTCCAAATCTTTGGTTTAATTTAATTTCTAATTACCTACTCTTCAGATATTACTGTAAATGAAATGTTTTCTTAATTTCTTGTTTGAATTGTTCATTATTGGTACACATACTATAAAAACAATTAACTGCTCCCTTTATGTGAACTTGACATTCTGCTACTTCACTGAATTCTTTATTGGTTCTTTTTTTTTAATTTTTCCATTTGATACAGGGTCTCACTGTACAGTTCAGACTCATAAGGATCCTCCTGTCTCAGCCTCCCCAGCACTGAGATTACAGTGTGTACCACCACACCTGGTTTTGGGGTGGACACACCATGCCCGGGGTTCAGGGGCTGGCTCAGCATGTGGTACTGGGGATCACATTCAGGTCCTTGTGCCTGTCAGGAAGGCACTCAGACCACCAAGCTATCTCCTCAGCTTATTTATTAGTTCTAACAAGACTATTTTTTACATTCTTTAGAGTTTTCCCCATAGAAGATCATGTCATTTGTGAACAGAGGTAATTTAACTTCTTTCCCAATTCAGGTCCTTTTTATTTTTTTCTCACTTTACTTGCTCTTTTCAGGGCTTCCAGTAATAAGTTCAACAGAGATGACAGAAACAGGCCTCCTTGCCTCCTTCCTAAGTTCAGAGGAAAGATGTCGACCTTTCCTCCCTGAACATGATGTCTGTCTCCGGTTCTTCATATTGAGCTTTTACATCAAGGAATTTCCTTTTATTTCTAGTTTATTGAATATTTTTATCACGAATTTTGAATTTTGTCAAACACTTTTCTTGCCTCAGCTGCAGTAATCATATTGTTTTCCCCTCCACTCTGCACTTGTAGCAACATCGCATCCTCCGCTCCTACCACAGTGTCTACATAGATAAACAAACTGGCAACAGCAATCAGCATATGCGCCAGGTACCCGCCTAAGTGCTTTGCACAGGTTTTCTCATTTACAGCTCAGAAAAAGTTTGTGAGGAAAATTATTCACTACCTTTATTGATAAGTAAGCTGTGACATATCTAAGTTGGACATGAAATTGAATTGTAAGAGACAGGGCTTGTTTCTACCCCAGGCCTAACTGAAGAGGCTGTGTACTGACAGCTACACTATAGTCAACATTGTGTGTATCTGCAGAAGCAACAAATGAGTGAAGGAAGGAAGGAAGGAATGAGTAAATGAATGAATGAGTAAATGAATAAATGAGTGAATAAATATATGAATGAGTGAATAAGTAAATGAATAAATGTATGAATGAATGAATGAATGAATGAATGGATGGATGAATGAGCGAGTGAATGAATGCATGAATGAGTGAATGAATAGATAGATGGATGAATGGATGAGTGAATCAATGAGTGAATGAATGGATGAATGGATGAATGGATGAATGAATGAATGAATGAATGAATGAATGAATGAATGGTAAGTATCTCTCCCCGACCTTTAGGTGGACGTCATGCAGAGATGGAAGCCAAGTGTCTGTGCTACCTGAGGCGCTCTTCAGCACCAGGATCTCTGTGACTTGGGCATGAGAAAGGAGAGAAGCAATGCTGGTCCTCACTCCACAGTCTGAGTTTCCAGATTTTCCAGAATCTGAGCAGCCCTAAAGGTCTGGCTCATCTCCCCTGACAAGGCGCGGTGAGCCCTGACACACAGCCTTCTCTGCCCAGCCAGCGCTGTGTGAATGCCAACCCCATTTTCTGGAACACCTCCCCACTGCAGTTTCTCAAATCCAGCTCAGATGTTGTTTGCTTCAGAACCTTTTGCTAATCAAACCATTTCTTATAAACCTCTCTCTTTCTAGTAATAAAAAAATAATATTAAATACCCAAATCTGAGGTGGAGCAGCACTTAGACTCTGGAAGCACATGGAAGTTACTGAAGGGTAGAAAATTATAAGAACAAAAATGCTTGAGGGGCACAACAGCAACCAACATGGTAGAGCTTGGACAGAAGGCAAGTTCCTCCTTCCCTATGCCACCATGAACAGATGCTTAGGCTGTGGTTTTCCAATGAAAAGTACACTATAGAGGAAGCAGCTTGGCTTAGCTGGTGAGTTTCTGAGAGTGAGGAACTGAAGAGAAAGAAACAATAGACTTCCACCATAGGGAATGAGAAATGCACATTTGACCAGGAAAGTGTTGGCGTGGCATTTCTGACCAGCTCCAGGATTCAGACTGTATCCTGGAATCACGGGGCGGGGGGGACACAGAAATTAAACATTTACATCAAACAGCCAAGGCTCAATGTTTGGTCAGGAAAAGGCAAACATCAGTGTTGGTGAGCAAGATGAACATGTCCACAGCCCAAAGGTGCTGGAAAGAAACACTCCTCTTTTAAACTACGGGTACCAGGCATCAACAGGTTCCTGATTGGGGCACCAGATCTGTACAGGAGAAATGTTACCTGAGAGTTCATCAGGCGGATGGTGGTCTTCGTGCCCACATCTTGTTGGAAGTTGGCTGTGGGAGCCCCATTAAACCTCAGGACTGCATCGTGATCATCTGTGAACCACAGGAAAACAGAAAAGCATGATAGATGAGAGATGACAATACACAGGAAGAGAGAAGGACGGCGGGGAAGGGGCAGAAAGAAAGGGAAGGGAGGAGATAAAAATATTTCTTGGCTTTTGTATTGTGATACAAACAGAAAAAATGTATTTCCACGTTGCTCAGCTAGAGCTGAAAAGCCAAAATGACCATGTGGCTGTCAGCCACTGCAAGAGCTACAGGGGGTCCAGGTCACGCACTCCTGAAACTCATTCAGTGGCACTAGCGTACCGAAGCCCAGCAGAAAGGTGACCAAGGCCAGCGTGCACCTTGTAGAGAAGTGGCCACTCCAGTTATCAATGGAACAGACCAAATATGCTGTCGGCATCACCAGTAGGTTATATTTCTGTCCCTGTCAGCAACATCAAGACCCTGTCGGAAGCTCAGTCTCCTTGACAAGCACACAGGGCTTGGCGAATGCCAGAACTTACCATGCCGTCCAACACAAGCACAGTGTTCCATGAGGAACATGAAATGCAGAGAAGGGTCGCAAGCCTGGTGTGGCAGGAATGGGGCCTCAGTCAGAGTGGTAAGCTAAATGCCATGTTTCCTCATGCTTTGTAACAAGCATTTTGTCAGAAAAAATATAGAGCATTAAATCCAGTCAGTATCAGATAGATTGGAGCTGGAGGATGGCTCAGCAGTCTAAGCACCTTCTTGGCAAGCACAAGGACCCAGGTTTCATCCCCAGTACCACATGCCATGCTGGTCACAGAACCCCATGCAAGCTAAGCCAACCATCAAAACTGGGTGTGGTGGTGCACACCTGTAATCCCAGCACTCAGGAGACAAAGATAGAAAATCACTATGAGTCAGAGCTACATAGCAAGACCCTGTACCAGATAAATAAACAAAAGATTAAAAAAAATTTTTTTAATCAGATAGATCATCTCAAAAACATCTAATTACTTCTTGGGCTCAATCTCCTTTTGGCTATTTAAAGCAGAGTTTGATAAATAGAAAGAGAAGTTTCTCTACTTGCATTGACCAATCCAGTGGATGACGTGACAACCTCTGGGAACCATCCCCATGGGGGACCTTAGTGATTCTATGACAGCTCAGCCCACCTTTATACAATCAAGCAAGTTTAGGGTTCACCACCAAAAATCTATTTGAAGCTAAGCCAATAATCTATTGTTCCATCTTCCTCCAGGTGGGTTTGTTTTGGTTGTTCTTTAGCCACACAGATAAGGTTGGGAAGAGAAAAAGGCATTTGATTCAACACAAGATGATCTGGAAAGGGAAATTAAGGGGTGAAATCCTCCCTCTATTCAATTTCAGCGCCACCTGATGTATGAGTTCTGGCACACCATTCACAGAAACAACCTAATGGTATCCTCAGTCCTGGGACCAAGTGTCATTGAAATGGCTTGAAAGTTACATGAGATAAGCATAGTCCATATTTCCCTCACTTTAACAGGCAGGCACACTGAACTGCAAATACAGCAGGAAGCACGTCTCTACACAATGCAAATGTATAGTGAGCTCAGCCATGGGAAAGTGCAGATCTAAAGAAACTGCACTTGCCAACTCTCTCATTTCATGAATGAATAAATTATCTTGGTGAAGAAAGGAGATGAAAGCTCCAATGAAGCAGCTAACAGCTTCATTAAAGGACTATTTATAAAAACATGGGTACAGTTTAAGGAAAACAAGGCAAGATGGCCTAACACCCCACAGTCAGCTGCTGCAGGAAGCCATTACTACGCAGGTGGACCGTGGACCCTGGAGCAGAGACCCTGAGCTACTATCAGCAGCTGTGGACTTGAGGAGAGGAACACAACACTGCTACCACCTAGCAGGCGAGAAGCAGCCTCAAGTAACCAGCATCATAACCTCTCTCCCCTTCATCCCTCAAAACTTACAGGCCTGAAGGGAACGGGGAGAGAGCCAGGCCCCAAGGATCAAGTGGGGTGCCTTCCCGGGACTGAGATCCCATCAAGGGAACATAACATCTAGTTCAAACTACAGGGGACACCCTGGGAAATAGGTGCCCCAATCTCAACTTCAGTCCTCTTAGCTTTACCCCTGTGCTGCCTCTAGCCAACTGGAAGCCAGAAGACAAGGCATATCCACTGACATGGGCCAGAACCTCAACTTCCAGGCAAGAGAGCTGCATGGGAAAGTGAAGAGAGTAGGTGTGGAGGGGCAAAGGGAGAAGAGTCAGCAGGGAGCTTTAGGATGGGTCGTCAGTGTTGGCCCAAGGAAAGGAGGATCGGTAAACTCTGACTCCCTGCCAGGGGCCATTCTCAGGACTGAAGACAATGGGACAGAAAAGAAAAAGACCAGACCTTGCCCTCAGACACTTCACCTTCTACTGCACTAAAAGATGGTAAGGAAGCATAACCTGTATGTAAAATAACATGACCAGTACTGTGATGCAAGTGAGCTGAGTAGCATGCAAGAGACAAGGATGTAATCTTCTTTAGATAGGGTGGTGATTTGTGGAATGTCTCAAAGCTGAGGCCCTCAGAGCTGGTCAGTGGTGAGCTCACCCTCAGCTGGCCCTCAGGCATGGAGTCCAGGAACGTCCATGCCAACAAGAGGAGGCAAGAAGTGTTCAGACCACTGTGAAAGGACGTGGCTATAGCTGAGCTATGATGGAAAGGAAATCAAAGATGCAGTTAAAGAGTTTGGCGAGGGGCCAGGGAGATGGCTCAGTGGAATAAGCGCTTCCCTGGCAAGCGCAAGGGCCTGAGTTCAATCCCTGGTTCTGCCAAAAAAAAAAAAAACGTGTTTGGCGGGAAAAGGGCCATGCAGGGCTATGGAGTAAGGAGACAGATCTTCCTTAGAGGGGAGAAAGGAGAGGGAGAGGGTGGAAAAAGAAAAGAGATGCCACCTACATCTACTAACTGCATGAGAAATGTAAACATTATGTACTGCAAACATGTACTAATAAAAAAAGTAAAAATAAAAGAAATGGAAGAAGAAAACCTCTTTCAAAAGCCACTTGGGATCAGAAAAGGGATTTGCTGGGAAGCCCATCCTTTGCTCGTAGGAGTGGAAGAGCTTTCAAACTCAAACAGGGCTCCAAGATGCCACCTGGAGCAACACAGAATGCAAGGGAAACCAGTGACAGGCCTGCCACGTGGGAGGGAGCCTCTGGCTCTCCTGAACTCAGCTGAGAGAGCCAGGCCTCGCCGTGCAGGTGATGTAACTGCACACTTAGAAGATTCAACAGAAACAGCTTGAGCTGGGAAATTCATAAATGCATCCCAATCCACTGCCTCAGGTATAGTAGCCTTAAACTACCATAGAATTTAGAAGTCATGATGCAAGGCATTTTATCACAGTTTATCACCTAACATTTCATTTATTGGTCTTTTGGACACAGGGTCTCACTATACAGTTCAGACTGTCCTTGACCTCGCATTGTAGCCCAGGCTAGTCTCAAACTCACATGGATCCTCTTCTCTCATCCCCCTGAGTGCTGGCTTCCTCTTTTCCTTCTCTTATTTTTTTTTTTTGGGGGGGGGTACAGTCCTGGGGATTAGAAGCCAGGGCCTCACATACAGTAGGCAAGAGCTCTATTACTGAACAAAGTCTCAGCCCTCTTTTACCTTTTCATTTTGAGACAGGCTCCTGCTAAATTGCCCAGGCTGCCCAGAAGCCTGTAATCCTCCTGGCTCAGCCTCCCAAGCACTGGCATTACAGGTGTGCCTGGCTCTCATTTTTATCAATAAAGTCTTACTGGAGTATGCCCATGCCCATTCTTTACTACTGCTCTTTATGGTTGCTTTTGCCCTACAGCAGCTGAGTTGAGCATTTATTATGGACACTCTATGGCCCTCAAAACTAAAACTAACTTCCCTGAGGCCTTTTACAGGGAAAGTCTCTGGCCTCGGCCTTAACTCAACATGTTCTTCAAGCCACTTGACCCTCAGGTACCGTCTCAACCCTCAGGTACCTCTTCAACCCTCATTCTGATCATGCACCTTTCCCAGTTCTGCAGACCTTGCTGCCAAAAGCTGCCTTCCCCCAGCCACATCCACCATTGCTTTCCATCACAGTGCATTCCTGGTTCTCCTCCAGCCCCTCTCTCTGCCATGCGGAAAGTTTCTGCTTGTCCTTGTTCTCAAAGTACAAACCTGTTTTCAGGTATTCTAGTTGGATTTCCCTTAGACTGTAACACAACCTCACCTCAGTGCCAGTGCAAGTGGCTTCTAAATCTGATCTCCAGATCTGACCCTTTTTCAGAATCAAGGACTGAATAGCACAGACAGCTATGGAGGAAAACCCACCAAACACCTCAACCCAGAATGGAATGTTCTGGGTTCCAGAATCAAGCTCCCCAGGGACAGGACACGGCCTTCCCCGAGGCTAGGAGTTCCTGCTTCTCAATCTTGGGTGTTCCTAGTTAGACACGAAGCTCTGGCCCTTCTAGCTCAGGAGACTTCTTGGGTCAGGCCCTTTCTCTCCACCACCTCTCCCTGTGCCGGACAGTCCGGTTCAGGACTGCTTGGCTGCATGTGGCAATGGAGCCTAATGACAGAGAGATCACACAGTAGTCCCCTTGGAGACACGACTCTTGGAAAAAGGAGAGATCTCCCCAAAGCACGTGCCATCTTATTGCTGTCTTGCTCCAAAACCTCCAGAGCACTCTGTGGCTTAAAGGACAAACCCAGCCTCCTCACAGTGACTGTTGTCCGTCTCTAAGAGCTGAGCCTTGGTTCTCATCCTGGTCCTACTTTTCACCCCTCTTCACCACTTGGCCCCACCTTCCAGCCAAAGAAGATTCTGAAATGCCCAAACATACGAAGCACTTTGCCCTGTGTGGCCCTTGCTTCTCACCTTGGCCTCCATGTGGAATTTTCCCCTCCTTTCCCTCAGGAACACAGCAAAAAATTAATCCTGCTACACTCTGTGATGAAGTTATGACTATCAGGAGGCGCCGCGCAAAGCAGGGAGGTCAGTGCGCTGAACAGCGGCTTCCAAAGCCCTGTCTGCTCTCCACAAGCCGTGCAAGCCTCCCGGACTCCGGCTAGCTCCTCAGCAAATGGCTGCAGCAGTCTCACCCAGCACCTCAGACACACAGTAGGTGCACAGCAAGTGCCCCTCCTCTTGGCCATCGTGTTTTGTACAACGAGCTGTCTTTTGAAATGAAATTCCAAACAAATCTAAGATACTTTCTATGCATAAGTAGGCTATCAAATATAACTGAAAATTACTGAATCCACCCTTGTCTAGTTTGCAGAAGGGCCGGAGGTATATTATGTATATACACTGTAGACTTTCTCTGGTAAATACAGCCATAAAATACATCTTCTCTAGGCTTCTAACCTGGGTCCTGAGGATATTTCCTTCATGGGAGGGTAGCAGTAATTCATAAATTATCTGTACAAAGGAACTGTGGTGGCACAGGCCTGTAATCCCAGCGCTCTGAGAAGCTGAAGCAGGATTGTAGATTTAAACCCAGTAACTTAATAATGAGACCTTTTCTCAAAATAAAAACTACAAAGGGTTGGGATGTAGCTCAATGTGAAGGACCTGGGTTCAATTCATAGTACCAATTAATTAATTAATGTGATCTGCATAAGAAACCCTACTGGAGGTACAAGTCATAAAACTAAACAAGTTGAAGCCAACTTAGATACTCAATTGTTGTGAACGGGCTCAACGACTTTCTGTGAAATGAGAAATCTGTGGGCCCAGCATTCTGTGGCCCCGTCCCTCTGCTTCTTTGTATTCCAAGCTCTTATTTTGTATTGTTGATGAATTCATGAATGAATGAAAAAGGAAATGAATGGATGTCTTAAAATATTTGTTAGACCAAATGCTCAGAGGATACGCCCTGTAAAATTTAGAACACTTGAAGTTTAACATGTAATTTTTACATCTGAAGATCAAAGTCCTTCCATAGTACTTATTTTCAGTTGTAACTGCAGTATATAGAAAAAAAAAATTATTTCAACACACATTTATTTAAATCACTCTAACTTTTAGGGAGTGCAGAAAAATAAGGGTGTATTAAATATAATGCACAATGGGAGGCTGGCCCGGCTTCAGACAGAAGCATAATATCAGCCAGGCAGACTAGAATGACCTGACAGGAAGAAGGGTGTGCTAACACTGGCAACAACCAAATGCTGCCGTGTACGGCAAAAATAGAAAAGAAGAAATAAAGACGCTTAGTTTTATTGTAGATGAACAACATCCAGCCTGGGGCCAGGGAGATGGCTCAATAGAATAAGCGCTTGCCTGGCAAGTGCAAGGGCCTGAGTTCAATCCCTGGTTCCAAAAAAAAAAAAGAAAGAAAGAAAGAAAGAAAGAAAGAAAGAAAGAAAGAAAGAAAGAAAAAAAGAAAGAAAAAAAGAAAGAAAGACAAGATGTAATCTATACATCATAAGCTGCAAACAACATCCAGCCCCATTTTGTTTCTAGCAAGCAAAGTCCAAATGAAATGATAAAGACGAAAATCAAAGTTGGGGTGGGACTAGTCACCTTGGTAGCTCTGCTTCGGGAGCACAGCTCACTGGGCAGCTAGAAAGCGTGACCTCACCACTCCTCTTTCAGCTCCAGAGAATCCAGTTCACATCTACATTTCTTTCAGAGCATGTGCTTAGTTTTGGACCATTTTTCCTGGCAGTCACATGAAATAAAAAAGGAAACATATGACCTCACCTGCTCCGAAAGCTCCAGGCTGAAGGAAGAGCGAGCCTCCCTTTGCTCTGCTTTCTTTATTGCCAGCTTCACTTCCCAATCATGGAAAATATATTTCTCTCAATACAAGAAAGGCAAAGGGCCTGAAGCCAATCGGTAGCTGTTGGTTGGATTAGTTTACCAATCCACACAGACCAACCGTCTTTATTAGCTACAAAGGACTTTAAGAAAAGCAAATTGATCTGTTTCATCCAGTAACTAAAATCTTATTTGGACCACAGACTCCTCTGAAAATCAACTACAACATTATAAATTTTCCCATGGGAAACGCCCAGAGTCACACGCATGCATATATTATGTACACCTGATCCACAGGTGATTTTGCACATGATTTTAAAGACTCATGAACCCCCTGAAATTGGTCCAGAGCACCTAAGTTAAGAATCTCTACTCTAAGTTTTTTCGAAGGAAAAGAGTGAACATTACTCAGGTAGTTAAGGCTAAAAGACTCCTCCTTGTATCAAGTAAAATAATAGACCATCAGAACCTGAAAGGGAAGTAGAAATCTACGGTTCAAGTATTTTCAAAGGTCAAGTGTAGCTTTCTGTTTTGTTTTTTGTTTTTGGGTATCAGCAGAACTTGCCTTTTTCAAATTACATACTCTTCAGGATACCATAATTTGAAACAGATAAAAATGAAGCTAAATTAATTGAGAAAGATGCTCGGGTCCTAGATTCCCGTCCTTTTGCCCTTCTCCATAGTATATTTGATGCTGAGAAAGAAAGCTGAAAGCACTGCTCCACCCTAACTCCTCTGGTCCACAGAGCCCCCTTCTATTCTATACACACTCTATTTTGTATATTCGGTTTGTAGAGCCTCGTATTCTCGAGAAATGAAGGCACCTATGCTTGAAAAACTAGAATGAAAAGGAAGAACCTGCCTATGACACAGGATCCAGACTACCTAAAATCCTAAATCACTTAAAATACTCAAAGAAAGACCCCTTTGTCGTGGCTGCTGCCACCGACTTACAATACAACTCCCTAAGAGCTGCGATGTCCAACACCTGCATGACAATAAGACCAAAATTTGTTGTCAGCTTCACCACACAATATGGCCACAGGACCACCAATATATCCAACTACCTTCAGGAGGTTGTGGCTGTTCAGAGAACAACGGCCACGTACCTATTTCTTGGCCCAGTTGTGAGGACTTCAGAGATCCCGCTGATGAGACAACGGCACACCTGCGCCATGGCCCAGCCTTGGTCCTGATGTTCTCCCTGGGCAGGTACCCTTCCCATTCCGAGGTATTGAAGGGAAAATCTGTGGCATCCACCATGGACACATTCACACGGTCCCGGAGGTGGCAGCGCAAGGCATCTGTGCTGAACTTGACGCCCGGCCCTGGCCCCTTGTAGGATACTTTATACTTGTTCATGCGCAGATAATTCTTCCAGATCTTCTGCAGCCTGGGGATGAGGTTTTTGGATGAGCTGTCCTTGTTCCACACCTGGAAGGTGGGCTGCTGCGGTTGGGCCTTGCGTGGGACCTTGGGGCTGACCATCTGGCTGAGCCGGTGGGGGACCTGGGTACTGCTCAAGGATGCAGGCCGGAAAGCAGACCTTGTGGTCAACTTCTCAAGGCTCTTTGGCTCCTGGAAGTCCTTGGTTTGCACTTTAAGGGAACCATAGTAAGTCCCTTTCCTCCTTTCCTTCCACACACAGATGGCTGCGAACAGGAGAAAGGCCAGGACACAGTAGCTGAATTTTTTCTTCAGGCTGGTGTGAATCATAATGAAAGCTACGTGTAGCTCTGTTTTAAGCAGGAAAACAAACCTACAAAAAGCAGGACAAGGGGGAAAAAATGATGTGAAGAACATTCAAAAATGGCATATAGTAGGGCAATGGGCTCAGCAATTAATTTAAAGTGAGGCGCTTTGAAATTCAGCCCTGGTCTACCTCCTACCAACTAGGTAGTGTTGAGCAACTCTCAGACAAATTCAGCCTTAATTCGTGCTGTCTATGAATTTCCCCAGATGCTCTCTTCTTCCGTCCGGAGCACCGAATACTTCCTGTACTTTCCACCATGATTTTTGTCCTCTGAATCTTAGTTTCTGATCGTCTTCATCTAGCTCCCTCACAGCTCACTCTGAGCCAATAAGGTCAGGTACCATCTCTGCATTCAGTTTGTAGAGCCTCGTATTCTCGAGAAATTCAGGTGCGTGTGCTTGAGAAAGCCAGAACATAAAGGAAGAACTTGTCTACAACACAGAATCCAGACTGTCTACTGCCCTAAATCACTCAAAATACTCAAAGAACGACCCCTTTGTTATGGCTGCTGCCACCGACTTGTGAAACAACCTCCTAACAGCTGTGATGTCCAACTCCTGCATGACAATAAGCCTGAGCTCGGCTTCACAACATAGCATTCTATTTGTGCTGTGCACGGCAAGAGAAGCACCCTTAGGACAGCAAGCGAGCTCATCTCACACAGAGACTAGGAAAACTTGATAAGAGAGCAGACACAGCCAATTAAAGAATAAAAAAAAGTACTAAGCACACCAGATGTTGGTGTTTCATTTAATTTCCTGGCATAACCGGAGTCATTGTGATGCACGGCTCCAGGAAGCGCCATGCACATCATAGGCTGTTAGCAAGGGCATCCTCAGCTGCGCAGATGGACCCTGACCATCAAGTATTCAAGAAGGTGTTATGATCTCCATTTTAATACACCACAGAGGCGCTGAGAGGCTAAACAATGTAGCAGAGATTCCATGAAGGCCATGGCTGTGCTGGGTTCAAAGCTCTATGCACTTGGTTCCATAACCCAAGGTCTTTCTGCTGCACAGTACCATGGAAGTCCTGGAAGTGGACTTCTTCAAGCAGAGCCACGCCATCCCCACTGCATCTAGGTGAAGACCTACTTTGTGCTCCCAGAATTTATTGTGTAACCAAACTGAAAAACAGAAGAAGCACTTTGAACTCAAACAAGGTCTGTATCTTTTGAAAAACATTCAATTCTCTCCTCAATCACTGGATTTGTTTTTGTAAATGTCTTGGTTATTTTTTGCTCATTGCTGGGATAAAATACCTAATACCAAAAATTAGGGAAGGAAAGGTTTATTTAGCTCACAGTTTGTGCAGGTTTCAGTCCATACTCAGCTGGCTCCAAAGCAGACGGCAGCAGTTCATGGTGGAGGAAAACAGAAAAAGCAGCAAGAGCAAAAGAGAAGACCAGCAAGAGTAAGGCTCTTTCCCTCCCCTATATTGATGTGGGCTGCCTGCCCCACAGCAAGTTTAGCACTCACGCCCACAATCCTAGCATTGGACCATGGATCAATAACAAACTCTAGAAGCCGTCCCATGACTGCATGAGGCTGTGGCGCCCCAGACATAAGCCAGAACAATCAGTGAGCCAAAGCGTTACACCTGGGCTTTTACTGACCCACAGACATCTCTTCCACAAAGCTTGCACCTAAGGACTTAGACAAGAAGGTAGTCGGACTCTGGACTGGGCATTCAGGAAACGTGAGTTCTTGTCCCCATTCTTGGTGACCATGGGCAAGGGTGCTTCTCTGCACCCAAGTATCTGTGAGATGATTATCTCTGCCTAGCCCAGTCACAGAGTATGGAGAAGACTGAGCAAGAGGCTGTGTTGATGGCATTGGCACTAGCTAAGAACAAAGCCAGGGTAGCCCCTCAACAAAAGAGCCATGAGGGGGGAAGTGGCCAGTGAGGGGTGCAGAGTGGAACTTGGGCCACGACTCAGAAGCCTGAGTGGTAGCCTGTCCCTCTAAACCTCTTTAATTAACTGACACTGACACCAAGCTCGCTCTTGGAGTCCAAGGGCAGTGCAAACCAAAGCCACATTGCTTCCTATTCCAGAACCTTCCAGACCAGCATCTCTGAGGAATATGGGCTCCTAGCTTGGATGGTTAGAATTTTCTCTCCAAATGTGCACACAGAAAGACGAATTCTGATAGATCATGAAACAGAAACTAGAGGCCTTGTAACGTCACCAGGAAATAAAGGATTTAAATTTCTTCAGAATGAGGAAAACAACTAATCCCATGACCACATGATAACTCAAGAAGAACTAAAGAAGGAACAGCACTTGAGGAGGCTCCACTGAATGACTGGCCCTCAGCCTGCAATATCTCACTGAATCATCACTGGATTGATAGTTATACTTTAGAAAATGAAGAAAAAGCCTTATCAGGGTTACAGGGCTTTCTCAAGGTCAGCAGTTTATCAGTATTACAAACACGACCCTAACCTAGTCCCACTCTAGAAGGTCTAGTTCTTTATCCACTAGAGGACAAGAATCTGTGATCAGGAGCAGCAAAGATCTGGTGCTGGCCATCAGGACTCAGAAGTCAGGAGCCAAGAGGCAACTCAAGCTTTCAGGCTGCAAAAGAAAAGCCACCTTTATCATCAGCAGTGTGTCTGCCAGCAGGGTGGGCTCTGCTCACCATGCAGGGAGCCTTTCACATTAGTTAGGTTTTAGAAGATCCCGAATAACCTTTGAGATAAGCACAGCAGATGTTGAGTACCACATGTACAAAAAAGTTGAGATTTGCGAAATATAGTAATTTTCAGAGGTTGCACAAGCAATTTGGAGATGGTAGGACTTTGAACTGGACTTTTCCCTCACATACGACCCAAAGGAGACACCAGGGAGGAGCCTAATTCCCTGTCTCAGGAGCAGGGGCTGCTGGTGGATTTTCCTGGATTCTCAGGAACAAAGAGCTCCCACAGACTTCCAGGTCCAAACATAGCCCTGCAACTCTTAGGTGGCCGGAGACTGGGAGATCTGGGCCAGTCGCACCTGGGAGCGTTCATCTGAACTCTGACATCGGGGCTCGCATGCTCCCCAACACAATCTTTGTGTTAAGACTCTGTGTCCACTACTGGGTGGAGTTTCAGGTTGACCCTCTCTCACCTCTCAAGTGTTCTAACAAGACAGAAGGAAGACGCTCCATCTGAACAGCCCGCCAGAGGGGCAAAGACCAGTGAACTTGCCTCCACCAATGCTTTCTTTCACTCATGCCCAAATGATCTCTTAAGCCTACGTTGTCTGCGCAGCTGCATTCTCTGCCCTTGACCTTCAGAGAGGTTTACTTCCTCTTCCTCACTACGCTTGCACCCTGCAGCTTGCAACCAGGGCTTTCTGAAAGCTTGCTTTTTGGGCCAACTCTGGTGCTAGAGAGGAAAACTTACCCTGGCCTCTTCAATGAACTATAGGACCCAGTGAAGTCCCTGGAGCAGAATGGGCGCTCAAAAAAGCATTACTGAACCAATGTGACTGTACCAGTGAGCCCTCACAATTACCATGAGGCTTCCAGAACATGATACCAACTCATTACCACCCACAGAGACCAAACCACACCAAAGCAGCAGGAAGAAAACCTCAGTCAAAGTAAGGAGTTGTGCCCTGAGCCAGTCATCCAAGAAGTTCAGTATGAATGCAGTAATTGGGACAGAGCTGGTGCTCATAAAAGACAAAGTGATTGATAGAGTAACTCCAATGTGAGTTACAGCTGACAAACATGGGCCAGCCACCTACCCGCCCTACCTGCACCCTGCTCCAGACCACTGAAAGAGAATAAAGAAGGGAAAACCAACAGAGCCACAGTCAGACAGAGAGAAACTAGAACTTCACCGGAGCAGTCTGCCACAACAGTTTTGGAGGGAGATGGACCCATTTGCTATCCCTCACCTGTGATACTTCTTACCTGCTTCTGTCTACTCCCTCTGGGGCTGCCGGACCCCCAGAGCCTCAGGAACTAGCACTATTCTCCATGGGCAGGAGGTCTGCTTTACTGTATCCGGAGGCCAAGGCTCATTGTTCTCAGGATGATTAAAAAACATCTGCAAATGGAAAAAAGAGAGAGAGTGATAAGAGTGGTTTCCAGCAGAGTAAGTTAAACATTAATGACACTGATGGGGCACTCATAGGCCTTATTGGGGCACAACCGGGAAGGCCCCAAGGGGCTCAGAAAAAAGTGAGGAGCGCGTTACAGGTGCAGTGATATGGCTCAGTGACTGACATGAAGGTACCAGGAGTAGACCCTGACACTGGGGACCACCAAGTCACCCAGGAAGATAGAAAGCCGGCTTATCTCCACTCAGGAATAAGCAGCAAGCAGTTTCAAAATAAACTCCAGGTAGATTTCCAAAAAATTATTTATTTCCAAAAGGTAAGGAATGATATGTGAAAGTACCATCAGCACATTTTTAACTGAAAAACTAGGTCCCCGAACTGCAAACACTCTCCAGATTCAACTGCAAGAGATATACACGGAAAACATACATGAGTATGTTGAAGGCTGCTGACCAACATAAAGCCTACAGATGCGCATCTTAGCATTCAGGCTCTTCGAGGTTACACTCAAGATTATCCCTGACGTCATGTGCTGGCCCATTACAGTCTTCATTTTGTGATTTGTTCTTTGTGTTAGCTGCATCTTTATTCTGAGAACATCTGACTGCGTGAACCCTGTTCTGTACTTCGACTCTTGCCGGGATTTTTCACCATGTAGAAATTGAGATTTCCTTCATGTGACTCGATGAAACTCTTCCTTTGCTATTTTTTCTTAATAGTGTTGAGATATTTTTTGTATATATAATTTACACAGATAACATATACATTATGTTTATATGTTTTTAATTAATTTTACTGAGAAACAAATAATAATGAGACAGTTTCAAAACTGATTAATAGGACAGTTTCAGTAATTAATACATTGCATATTGGTGTCTTCATAGTGGTTATTCACAGTACAAGATGCAGACATGATATCCTGTCCAAACACTGTTAGCACAAATCTTTCTTCTTGTTGAATTAAGAGAAAGTAGCTGTATATCTGTCCTAACTATTTTGTATATACAGATACAAAATGGTCTTTCCTTTGTATCACCCTTTTTTGTTTAGCTTTGTCAGAGATGGGTATTCCATTGTCACTTAAATATTGTAGGTGTGTGAATTCAGCAAAATAATCCAATATAGTCCAGCAGTCCATAATAGTAGTGGGTTAACCCCAGTGTAAACTAGACAACTTGCCACCTGGTATGCAACCATCCAAACCCCAGTAGCCATCGCTCAATACCATGATTCAGCAGCAAAATATGCAACAGCCTCTGAATGTGATGACTCAAAGTTTTGGAGCCGTGAACCTCAGTTCTCCATCAAATATGCTTCCTGTCCGGCCACACACTAACCCTTTGCTGGGGGGACCCGTGCCTGTGAGCATGCCCAGTGTGATGACTGGCACCGTGGGAATGGCCCCTCTTGGGAACGCTCCACTGATGAACCAGAGCATGATGGGCATGAACGTGAACATGGGGATGCCAGCTGCTGGGATGGGCTCGACAGGCGCGGTGGGCGTGGGCGTGCCCACCCTGGCCATGACTTCCGGAACTGTGCAACCCAAGCAAGATGCCTTCGCAAATTTCACCAACTTTAGCAAATAAGAGACTGAAAAGAAACAGCTTAAATGAAGAATTTTTAGCTGGGCAGATAGGTGATATTGGGATGGAAAACACTCATCAGCTCCCCTTTCTTTTTATCAGTTAATTGAAATAAAAGTACATAAAGAACCAAAAAATAAAATAAAATAAAATAAAAAATTAATAGTACTGGGTTATCCATAGGACTGGCAATGTCAGAAGTTGTTGACTTTGAGCCTTCATTGCTATTTTTTGTATGCATTGAAAGAGCTGAAAAGTATATTTTAAGCTCTGTAAAATTATATTTTCACCTGTTTTATCTCAAAGAGTAACAAATGTACATTTTAGAAATTTTGTTATGCACAAAATTACAGAAAATGGAAACATTCTACCATCTTGGGTGTACTTTTTCTAGTGCTTTCTCTTACCCATAAGTACATGTACATGTATTTTTTGTTGTTGTTTTTTGTTTTTGTTTTTGTTTTTGTTTGCGGAACTGGGGATTGAACTCAGGCCCTTGTGCTTGATAGGCAAGTGCTTCTTCTACTGAGCCATCTCCCCGGCCGCCAATGCACATGTATTTTTTAATTATGTTTGAATTTAGACAGTTTTTGCAGTTTGGGGACCTAGTTTCTGGGGGTTTTTGTTTTGTTTTGGGTTTTGTTTTGGTGTTTTGTACTTTAAGGAAGGGTCTACAGGCTGTTCAGGACCTCACTACTAGATCGGACTCGCACTAAGTCTCCTGTTTACAGCCTCACAAGAGCTGGGATTACAGGCACGTGCCACCACACCCAGTCTCAATCACTGTCTCAGTGCACCCCAGGGATCAAACCCCAGCCCCTGTGCCTGCTTGGAGGTGCTTTAATCCACTGAGTTATTTGGCCAGCTCTGGGAAGCTCGTTTTTCAGTTAAAAATATGCTGATTAAACTTTAACACAATATCAAGTATCTTTTGGAAATCAGTACTTTTTTGAAAATCGGTCCAAAGTTTATTTTGAAAAAACTTGCTGCTTATTCCTGAGTGGAGAAGCCAGTTCTCTGTCTTCCCAGGTGGGTTGGTGGTCCCCACTCTATTTCTCTAAGACTCTACTCTTGTCTGTCATGGGTCTACCCCTGGCTTCTCCACGCTGGTCACTGATATTCTTTCATATCAACACTGGTCATATGACAATGTAAACATTTCAAGGAGAACTGCAGATTAGTTCGAGCTTTCTAGAAAGTGTGTAAACAATGGAACAAGGAGCTTGTGTCTGTTGACCCAGTTACCACACATCGAGGAAATCCAACTACCAAATAATTCCAGTGAAAAGACTTATGAGGATTAGCAGCGATTGAGAAAAATGTGAATTCTATAAAGCAATGTGTGTTAGGAAAGAAAAACCATTTTCTTTTCAATTTAAGTTTATGTTTGGCGCCTTTGTCAAAGAAAACAATAAATAAATTTAAGCTTAGGGTGAAAACCTGTGAACAACCAAACTTCTAGCAATAGCTAAACTATGATACAAACACCTGAAAGAGTATAAACAATTGGTGAATTGAAGTAGTCATAAGGAAGAAAATATTTAATATATTATAACAAAGAAAGCAAAATAGAAAGTTACATGTGTACATTATTGCAAATAAAGGATAGCCATGCCCAAGTAATTAGAAAAAAATTTAAACAGCTGAGACTAAAAAATGATAAAATGAAAGGCTGATCTTTACCATATCAATGTGACTTCATTATTCTTACTATGTTAGCTGAATATGTAGGGCAAGCTAATGCCTACAGTTTACAAAATACATTTCAACTTTGTGTACGCACAAAATCAGGTGTGCTTCGCAGCCTGTCCTACGAGATTCAACACTAAGAAGAAGCAGTGTAAGGGTTGATCAAATACCTCAGCAGATTAAAGCGCCTGCAAGCAAGCGCAGGAGCCAGGGGTTCAATTCCCGGGCCTGCAGTGTCGGCCCCGCCCCCAGGGTGTACTGAGACTGCAATTGAGACTGGTCATGGTGGCGCACACCCGTAATCCCAGCTCTTGGGAGGCTGTAAACAGGCAGATCACTATGAATCCAATCTGTGCAGTCAGACCCTGAACACCCTGTAGACCCTTCCCTAAAATACA